CCACCTCCGCTCCAGCGCCCACCGCCGCAAGGCCAGCCCCGCCCCCGCCGCCAGCCCCGCCCCTGGCCCCGCCCTGGCCTTTGCCAAAGAGGAAGCAAAGTTACCTCACTCGGACCCCAGCCCAAAAAGCAACTCTACCTCGACCACGCTTCTAGCTTTATGAACAATGCGGGGTGCAACTGGAGATGGGGGGTGCCTGGACCCCCCCCTGCCCTGGGGAACCGCCTCCCGGAACCCTCCACCCTGGGTGACCCCCATCCTGGAACCCCCAGTGCCAGCCCCCAAGCCCCCTCACTCTGGGGAACCCCAGCCCAGGACTGCCCCGTGTCCTGAGGGACCCCCAACCTGGGACACCCACTGCCAGCTCCCAACATATCCATATACCCTCCCAACCTGCTCCTGGCTGCCTCCCCAATCCTAATGTGCCAACCCCCCATACCCAAATACCCCCTTGCCCCCCCCATACTCCCAACCCAGATGTAGAGAGCTGGCACTTCTGAGTGCGTGTGTGTGGGGGGGTGAATTCAAAGCACACACCCCGCCTTCTAGGTTGGCGAGGTGCCCACACATGTGCTAGGCGTGTTCCCAACACAGCTGGCCCCCAGACACCCCCTCCTCTCCGCATATGTGTGTGTCAGGCATGTTCCCACCACGCAGGCTCCCCCAAAAGCCTCCAGCCTTTGGTCTCACACATGCTCCCCGTGTGTCCATCCGTGTATCACGGGTGGCTCCCCAGAGACGCCCCAGATTCTGCCCCCCCACACATAACATAAGACAGGGCTTCCACATTACCCACCCCGCACCTCTCTCTTCCCCCCCAGCCTCCCTTCCCCCCATGCCAACTCCCAGGTACCCCCCCAGCACATGCCCCATACTGTTACCGATCAAGACAGGCCAAAACCAAAACTCAACTCAACGGACAGCACGAGAGACAAACTCAAGGAAACGAAAAATGGGGGGGGGCAACTCTTGGTGCCCCCTATCCGTCCCCCCCCATATCCTGCCTCTTCTCCCCTCCAGCATGCTCCGCCCATTGTGTATAGAACTCGTCGGGACGGACGGACAGACAGACACTGGCTCCAGCCCCAACCAAACAGGAGACCGGGGGCCCATCCCCCCCTCCGGTCTCTCTCCTCACGGCCGAGGGCTTCGCGGGACCAGCCCTCGCTCCCCAATTTTTTCGGGGTGGGGAGGAGGGCGTGGATTGACAGACGCTCCCCCACCCCCATCCTTCGAAGGCTTTAAAAGATCCCCACGCGCCCGGTTCCCCACCCAAAAAACCCCCATCCAACCAAGCTGCCGGCCGGGGAACGAATTCACCCCCCTCCCGCCCGCCGCCCCGCGAAGCCAAAGCTTCTCCTACCGCGGCACCACAACCAAAAATCCCACCAACCACGCGACGGCCCAAGCAAGGACCTAACAGACGCCCCCACCCCTCCACCAGAGGACTCAGCCCCAGGTCGCACCCCAACGTCCGACGGCTGTTCCCCCCTTCCCGGCCTCGTCACCGGGGCGGAGATTTTAAAGCTTTTTTCCCCCGTGTCCCCCGCACCCCAGGACCCAGTCATTTGTACGACGGGAAGGGGCCGTTTTCTGTGCCCACTCGTCGTCGCGAACCAAACGAACTACAAAGCGCGGGAGGGGGTGGAAAGGGGGGGGAATAAAACTTGGGCTTGTGCCCCCCCCCGTCTCCAACCCCCCCTCCCCACCGGAGCACCAAAAAAACCCGGCGTTTGTTGTGTATTTAAAGAAAAGGGGGGGACAAGGGAAAAGATCCCCCCCAAAAAAGGAAATAAAAGGAATTGAAAATAAATGCTATGAAAGAAGAGAGGGTCGTGGGGGGCATCGGGTCACGGAGCGGATGAGCAAAGCGGGGGGAAGAGGCAGAAGAAGAAAGTGGAGGGAGATGGTGGAAATTCCCATGGTTTTAGACCTGTCCTGTGTTTTCCCGCCCCTGGCTCCACCTCCTGTGGAAGGAGCCCCGCCCCCTGCAAGGCTCTGCCCCCTCTGGGCTGACTCTACCCCTTCCTTCCTAGCTCTGCCCCTCCACCTCAGCCCCTTTCCCTGCTCTCCCCACTCCTCCTGCAGAGACTCCTCCTTCTCCCATTGACCCCGCCCCTCCTGCCATTGGTCCTTCCCACCTCCCTAGGCCCATCCTTCCCACCCCTTTCTCCATGAGCCCCCCAGCCTCTCTCCTCACCCTAGAACCAGCCTTTTCCCCATTGGGCCCTAGCTCTTCCTCCTTAGCCCCGCCCCTTCTTCCTAGATTGAACGCTTCCCCTTATTGACCCCTCCCACTTCCTAAGAGCTACTCCTTTGGCCCAACCCCTTCCTGCATTAGTCCCTCCCATCTCCCTGGTTCCCCCTCCCCCCATAGTTCTGTTTCTTTATTTGTGACCAGAATTGACCCCGCCCCTTTTTCTTTGACCGCCTCTCATGCTCCATGTGGGGGAAGAGGGGGAGCATAAGGAGACTCCACATACTTATCCAGACCCCTGCCTCCTTCGCTGCATAGGAAGAGGTGGGGCTAAGGAGGTGGGAGGGGCCAATGGAGGAAGGGGTGGTGGCTAAGGAGGTGGGCGTGGCCAGGGGAAGCGGGAGTGGGGCCAATGGAGTTGTGGGGCATGGGTTATGAGGTAAAAATGAGGTGGGGTGACCATGGAGGTGGGCCTGTGGGGATTGGCATATGGCGAGGAACCAACTGGATGCCATTTTGGTGTGACCCACCAAAATTAAAACCCAGCTCTATTACCCTCTCACCCCCAAATCTAGCCTCATCTATCCTGGGCGGTCAGGAAATAGTCTTGGGGATGCAGGGGGAAAGTGGCAGACAAGGTGTTCCCCCAATTCCCCATCATGCACCCCCCATACAGGCCCCAAGCTCCCCATAGCCCTCCCCTCCATCCTGCCCTACAACTTCACTCCCCCCACCACTGGTCCCCTCCCCCTCTCCCATCCCAGCCCCACCTCACCCACCTACTGCCCCACCCCCTCCCTTCTCCCCACCCCTCCCCCTTCCTCCCACCCCATCATCTCAACCCCTTCACCCACCTGACTCCCCCCTTTCCTTCCCCAACTATTCCCCAAAGCACCCACTTGGCATTTTCTAACCCAAGGGCAAGAGAAGATGGAAGAAACAGGAGGAGTAAAGTGGGGGTGGTGGTTCCCCCATCCACCCCATGTTTCCCTCTCCACCAACACCAAAGATCTGAAGAAATTGGATGTGCAGATCTCAAAGCACTTCACAAAGGAGGCCGGGTCATCAGCTCCCACTTCACAGATGGGAAACCTGAGGTATGGAGCAAGGTCACCCAATGGTAGAGCTCGGAATTGAACCCAGGAGTCCTGGCCTCTAGTCCAGTGCTCCACCCATTAGGACTCACTCCCCGCCCCCCCAACACAGCCAGGACCCAGGCACCCTGCCCACAGCTGGGGCATCTTGCCAGTTGTTCCGCTTTGGTAAGCGAAAAAACATCCCTGTGGCTCAGGGTGATTGCATTCACCTGGACTTTTCGATTCCAGTCCAGAGCTAAATAGCCTAGATCTGGATTATACATATAATATGAAAGACGATGGACAGAGCAGAGGGTGGTGAATTTTTCCCCTGAGAAAGGGGTTGTTTTTTTTAGCAAAAATGCCACTTTAGTCTAAATTAAAAGACTTCGACCAACCTGCCCGTTTCAATAACATTTTGTTTAGGGAAGAAACCAGGACGTGTTTTTGAGACGGCAGGAAACGGTTCAGAAACAAAATCCATTGGGTGCCTTTAACAACGTTCAAAAAGCTCGCCAGCCGAGCGAAATGTTTTGATTTTATCGGGGGAAAGCCCCCCCAACATTTCAATCACCCAAAATGATTTTTTCCCCACAATTTCGTTCTGGGGGAAATTGTAAACATTGTGGTTTTCCTGCCATTTTTCACATTTGTTTTTCATTAAGCAATTTCCCATAACCAGAAAATCCAATTCCCAACCATCGCTCTGTATGATTGAATATAGCATAGAATATTAAGAGTTAATCTATTTCTATATGTATACATATATTAATTACTATATTATTTAAGATTATTGCTCTATCAAATAATTTTTGCACCAGGCTGGCACTCAGGAAACTTGGGTTCAAACCCCTGATCCACCCCAGACTCCATGGTCAACTCACTTAACCGTTCCATGCCTCAGTTTCCCTTCTTCCTAACATTCACATTTCCCTACCTGATAGGAGTATTGCGAGAGTAAATACGGTAAAGGTTGTGAGGGGCTCAGATCTCATGGTAAGTACCTTTGGTAGACACGGATACCCCAGTTTTGATGGGAATTGTGTACCTAAGAATCTCTTGAGAGCTCTATCGATTTTTACACCCAAGGTGAAATATCGTGAACCCCAACTGGTGCCATGGCTGGGCAGAAAGGGTTCACCTTTGTGGGGCCTGGGGTTATTAACCATGAAACAATGCCAATGTGAGAAGAACATAAGATACGGGTCAGACCAAACGTCCATCTAGCCCAGTATCCCGTCTTCCGACAGCGGCCAATGCCAGGTGCCCCAGAAACAGACGAATCACGATGCTCATTCTCTTGCCCTGCCTCTCTTGTTCTCCTCTTCGCTGGAGTTCCCACCCGAAACAATTGGCTCTTTTGCCAAAGGAGGGGAAGAGGGACTTGTCTTTGGGGAGGAGGAGAAAAGAGATGGGGAAGGTGCAAAGAAGGGGAAACGATGGGAAAATAGAGAAGATGGAAGTGGAAACTCTAAGGGTGAAGGGAAGGGGACAGGATCTGGGGCACGAAGGGAAAGATGGGTGGAAAACATACCGTCCAGGCCGCAATTTGGAAAAAATGAAGAAAATCTTCATTTTGGGTGGATACGTAAATGAATTGTTTCAAACCTTTCAGCGCGTGGAAAAGTGAAAAGAAGTTGAATTCAGGTGGCACAAGACGGTGGGTTTTTTGGACAAAATTGAAAGTTTTGGCTTCAGTTGTGGCCTTTGCATCTAATTGGACCTGTTCACTGGTTATTGGAAGGGAACTAAGGGGAAAGGGGAGAGAAAAAGTCGTTCAAAACCCAAATGTCAAAATGTTGGAAAGCGGTGAGAGAAAATACCAAGATTTTCCTGGGATTGTTTTTGAGGTGGGAGGTTGACAAAAGGTATCTGGTGAAATGGCCACAAATTTGCCAGAAGATTTTGTGTCTGTCTTTCATAGGGCAGCAGCTCTCAGCAACGTGGACCTGTAGCTCGAATGCGGGGAAGGGGATGCGACAAGGACTTGGGTTGAGCTGGAAACCCATCAATCTCCATGATGGGAATGATGGGAGAATTATGGATGAACAGACACAAAGGCAGACATGGCTACATGTCCCCTGCTATATCCCCGACACCCAGACACGGCCCTTTCCCCCACCACCATTACATCCCAGCCCCCGGGAACCCCTGGCACCCAGACACGGCCCCATCCCCCCCCACCATTACATCCCAGCCCCCGGGAACCCCTGGCACCCAGACACGGCCCCATCCCCCGCCACATCCCAGCCCCCGGGAACCTCCGGCACCCAGACACACCC